GTACACCCCCTTCCGTGCCCAGCCAGGTCTCGGTGATCCCTGCCAGGTCCGCACCCCCCTCTTGAATAAGTTCTTGAATGAGGGGGGCCTTATTTACCACGGACCTGGCATTGCATAACATCAGCCGGTGATCCCGGGCCGGAGGGTCTAAGATCCCTGGGGACCGAGTAGAGTCCTGAGGACCGGAGCACCCACAAGCACCCACAAGCACCCACAAGCACCCATTTTTGCCCTTTTGGATGCCCCACATTCTGCCACTTTTGCTGTCCTCACAGCCTTGCACTTTGCCCTAGACTCGTCCTCTACTGCTCCTGATGCCCTGCACCACCACTGCCCTACACTCCTCTGCCCCTGCCATCCTATAGTCTACCTCCCCCAGTGCCCTGTTCCCTTGTCTCCACCAGCTGACCTCTGCCATCTTCTTCCTCCTGTTGTTGACCAGACATGCCTAGCCTAGCCTTCTACAAGACAGCTGCTAGCTATATGTGAGGAATGCTGCATGTCACTTTGAGACAGCCACATGTGGCTAGCAGATGCTTTGCAAAGTGTTGGATGCACCTCAATAGTGGGAGGAAAAAGAGACCAAAAGTCAGATGGTGCAACAATAGTGGCATGGATGAAGGGCGGAGTGCAAAGTGACAGGCAGTGAAGTGCAGGATAGTAGCGGCGATGGAACACAGGGTGGCTAAAAGGGCATAGATGGGGAGAGATAGATGGGGGGAACTGAAACAAAGGCAAACATGACAAGGCAAGAGAAGTGTGAGGTCCTAACAATGGCATGCATGTTCCTGGCCTAACGACCACAAGTGAGACAACTGAAACTGCTGTTGCTAAACAATGTAGTCATGTGATATTACAGACCATATTGACCATATTGCTTAGCAATAGAATGACCATATTGCTTAGCAATAGAAATTCCAGTCCCAATTAGCTTCACTAAGGAAGGACTACCTGTATTTACATGTAATTGGTTGAATTGGGGAAAGGGAAAGACTTGAAGCTCCATTCTATTGCTCGGGTGGGAAGGCATTATATAAAATTATATAAAAAGGAAATTTCAAGCATGATAAGTATACAAAGTCCTCAATGCGTATTGTTTTGAAAGCTATTCCACACAATTTTAACTAATTCTATAGGCTACAAACTTGAAGAGACTGTTTTAATCTGTTATTAATTAATCCGGTTAAAATTTCTCAGTTTGAAATATTTGTAAGGATTAGTATGTAAAGCTAAATTAACACTGCTGATCTAATTGTGACACAAAATTAAGCATTCATTAATGAAAAAGAACATTCCTGCAGTTTAATCATAAGGGTAAACCTCAAAGATTATTCTTATATTTTGATGTATTATACAAATACATTGTATAATTAACAGTTCACTGCTATAAAAATGTTTGCTGAGAGCTTGCCGACTTTTAATGGCCCATCATGTCTGTGTAAGAGAAATAAAAGACTTGCAGAAACTAATGAATGCCTTAGCTTAGGAAAAAAAATGCTATGGTTTCAATCCACTTTGTCAGTTGCTGCTTTGTACATTAGAGCAGTGACAGCACCACACAAAAATGTAAGGAGTTGGCAAGAAACAGATTAAGAACGATGATGTCACCCACTGTAATGGCCATCCATGCTTTCAAGCAGCAGCAGCACTTAACAAAACCGTTTACTTCAGGAACTGAGTCTGAGATTCATACTAATGTTGGAAAAATGCAATTCTGGAAATCAAATGTGACTATCACCTTGACAATTATACCAATAAACAATAAATTTAATTTACAGCAGTATCTCATCAAATTTACAATCTGGTCCTTTCTCAGACATAATAGTTATAGACAAACCTGGCATATATAAGAGCTAAAACCAAACTCATTTAAATTAAAAAGTTTTGAAAACCAAAAGTTTCAAAAATATATGTACAATTTAAATTGCATGCAATTCGAGCTGTTTACAATAGGCATGGCACTACCTTCATGGCATGAATTTCTTCTAGTAATCTCTGTGCACGTCTGTGGTTTTTCAATACTGCATCTTCAGTACCCCTGAAAAAGAAAGGCATGTACTTCATACTGTATTAATGTGTGTACATATGTGATCACAAACATTTATCCTCTATGCCCCCCCTTTCTTAAACCATTTAGAGAAATACTTTGCTCACAGCATTACCTTTGAAGATCTGAGAAAGCTGCAACCTTTGTCATGTGGAGCAGTGCTCTGAAAAGCCATCTAACTGTTTTCCACAGCTCTATCATCTATCAATTAGTACATTATTGTTTTACAGGCAATAAAATAAGCTATGTTAAAAACTGTAAGAATGCTTGCTATTATACACTGTGCATAACAATACAGATAGTCCTTGACTTACTATGACAATTGAGTCCAGAATTTTGGCCACTGAGATTGCTAAACTGGTCACCATGTGGTATGATTTGATTTTACAACCATTTTTACATGGTTGTAAATCAAGCAACTGCAGTCATTAAGCAAATTCAGCATATCCAATGGGCATTTTCTGCTATTTTCTATCGTAAAACACCAAAAACATCACAAATTATGGTTACATGACCATAGGATACTGCAACCGATCATAAATGTGAGCTGGTTGCCAGGAGCCTGAAATGTAATCACGTGACCGCACAAGAGGGTGTGGCAGTCTTAACTTCAAGGATGGGTCGTAAGTAGTTTTAAATCTATTGTAAGTTGAAATGGTCTTTAAGCAACTGATCGTAAAACAAGGATCATCTATACATGATTCACTGATTATATGTGATCAAATTGATGTCAACTGTTAGCAGCCACATAGATTTTCCTCCATAGTGATCTGTCCCTAACGTGGTCCTTCAGGTCTTCTAGTGGTGACTGACTAATTTCAAAAGGACCTAGCTTTTTGAAGTAAGATACTTTAAGATCATTTGTGTTTTTAGTAAGAACTATGGGAGATTTGTTGAACAATCCATTTGATTGTTTTCTTGGCTGTGTATGGCATTCTCAGGAGTTTTCTCCAATACCAAACTTCAAAGGCATCAATACTCTTTCTATCCTGCTTCTTCACATTCTAATTTATGCTTTTATAGAGTGTCATTTCCATAGAATTTCACCACAATTCTGATATCTGTAAGTAGACATATCTGGCATCTCAGTATCTTTTCCAAGGTCTTCATGGCTACTCTACCACGTGCTAGTCTTTGGCTTACTTCTTCACTGCTGCTTTATTTGATATTGATGATTGATCCTAAAATGCAGAAGATATGTATCACAGTAGCTCTTCTAACTTTATCAGATAACACACAATAAAACTGCTGTCTAGAGGGAATTGACATTTGTCTAGGTCTGCTGGTTCTACAATTAATGTATCTTCTGGTCAGTGTTTTCTGATAAATGCATACCATATACTTCATCTGAAAATAGTCATTATATTTATGTTTCTAGTTCCCTGGATTAGATCTTGCTCCTTTTTAATATATTGGGATAGCAATATCTAGAGTCTAATCAAACAGGAATCCCTTTCTAAATAACTTCATAAGAAGCTTTCTACTAAAGTAGTACTCTACTATTCTTTAAAGATTTTCACACTGTATAATGTTTAATATCAAAGGTAAAAAGTCATTTTTAAAATAAATTTAAAAAATATGATGTCATATAAGGTCACTTATGGTCATTATAATTTTTTACATGTTATGCTTTAATATAGACTCACCAAGGAAAAAAATCACCCCCTTTGTTACAACAAAATCCATAAAACCAATTTCCTCCCAAAGAGAAAAACAAGTAATTCACAGAAACACTGTATTACATATTCAAAAAGTCAGTCCAATTTTTAAACACATCATTAATCTTTGACCACATAAAGTAACGATGTATTACTCAATCCTTCCATTATACCACAAGAGCCAGATCAGAGACAAAAGTGAACACATTTCATTGATTCAAGATTATAATCCTACACTGCTTTTCCAAAAATATAGTAAACTTTTTTTTTGCTGTATCCCATATTTGGTTAATCTATAAGTCTTCATACAATGAAATTCTTTGGTATATAGTTTAAAATTACATTCAGAGTTTTAAATAATACTGCTCTTTGTTATGCCATATCAAGTCATAGATATTAAACCAGTACAGAGAAAGGTGGCGTATGTCCATATCATTAGCATCTCTCCTCATTTCTTATTTCCAGCATAGTGGCTGATAGTCAACTCTTTTTAACAACAATAAAAAATCAAAGTACCACAAAATTTGAGAACTGCTACATTTAATCTAAATTTCATTAAAGGTACCCATCCACACAAGAAGGAGAAAATATGTTTCTCAAACTATCATAAAATAGGGTTGCAAGTACTTTAAATTTTAAAAGCATACAAAACATGAGAACATGTTTGCTTTCAATTAGTCATCTTCCACCAATATAGCAGTTTACATGGTCAGAAATCAGACGCAATTATATTTGGTCCATTTATTCTATACAAAAATCATAGAAGTATAACAAAAAGAGTTAAACTTACTTTTTCCCCTTCAGTTTAGCAATATGCCTAGTTAGTTTCCGAATCGTTAAAACTCTGATTTTCTTCACTTCTTTTCTCATCTTGACAACCTATGAGTGGGAAGGGGAGGAAGAGATGCATTATCATCAATATACTAAAATACTAGTTTACCACTTCCTAACTTATTAAAATTTTTAGTTAATCTTATTGAAGTCAAAAAGCTTCTCCATATTGTCAGTCAATTAAGGAATACAGGTAGACTTTGGTTAACAATGAAAACTAGGAGTGAAATTTCCATTGCTAAGCGATGTGGTTGTAAAGCACAATGTCACATGATTGAATCGCTTAGCAATGGCATTTGCACCAGAATTTGGCATGGAAAAATAGGTCATTTTTTAAAAAATTACACATTACATTTCATAATTTTCTAGTGAATGTAAAATTGTTTCTGAAAGTACTAGAGTTTCAGTATAGCTTGATCTTGTCCATCCAACAGAAGTTACTATATTACTATATTCTAAAGTTGCCTGAATCAGTATTTAATACTTGACAATAGGTAAGCATGGTAATATAATTCCAGATTTGAAAAACCAAAAATCCTTCCTCATTAATTGGTAATTATATTTTCTATAAAGATATTCTTGGAATCAAAGAACACTAGTGACATTTTCTAAATGAAGGATATATTTTCTGAAATGCTGTATTTTAGGGGCATGAGTTGTATACTATATGCTGTTCAATTTCCAAAAGGTGAATTAAACATAGGGCAATGACATCTCAAGTAAAATTTGATTTTTAAAGAGGACATCAAACATAAAAATTCTTAAGAAGATAACTGCCTGGTAGGAAGGTAGTTTACATCTTCAAACCCATAAGTCATAAGTAAGAAATCTGTCCAAGATGACTATTTCACATTAACCAATACTCTTCTTAATATAAACAGGAAGCCCTATTTTTTTTTAAAAAAAATACTCTTACAAAGTGCACATTTAAATAAATTATCCCTGCAATAGTAAATACTTGTCTTTAAATATTATTCCTGATTATGTTTAAGGAAATATGCTCAAGCCCACATAACTTCAATAAAAAATCATGTAAAAAGGAAAAATATTTTATTTAGAAGTTTCCTTGGCTATTTTAGGTACGGATATGAAAATGGAGTTTATTTATAAAAAGTATCTAAATTAGAGTGGGGTTCTCATTACGAACTTTTGGCAAGGCTTTAAAAGCTTTTCATCAAGTATTCCGGTCAACAAGGCTCACCTCCTACCAAGTTTTCTATCGTATTTTGCCCACACATCCATGTTTCTCATCATGCATTAAAACAACCAAGTGCTTCAGCTTTTTCTTTTTTTTTTTTAGCCAGACTTGGCCAAATGTCTCCTGACATTGAATTTTGGCATGTAATCAACAGTTAACAAGTACAGCTCTTATTCTCACAGAATGTCCATGGCATGAATAGCTGTACCAGTTGAATTTCTGCCTAGCATGTAGCCATTTAAAGATTCAAAATCAATGAATTAAAATGTCAAAACCCTACATCTAGAGGAAAGAAGTACATCAACTATATTGCATAGAGGTTTCAGCTGATGTGAGTGAAAAGCTCACAAACTATAATAAGTAAAAGTAACAACAACTTGGCATATACAAAAACCTACAATTTAAAGAATAACAGCAGATCATTATGCCCTAAAACATATATATTTAACTTCCTATCCAATATTTACTCCTTTCTAGAAAACTATGTGGAAGAAGAGTATATTTTTAGTAACTTATTCAACCAAAAGCAAATTCTAACTGTTGGTCATGAATATGAAAAATGCCAACCTAGAGGAATCCAAAGGGCTACTTAGTCTCACACTCTCTTCCTGCTTTGATCAAGCAAGTCACTAAAGTAACTAAAGTAACAGCACCTTCTACATGTTCTACACCATCTAATATTCACAGACATTCTGTCTCTAATTACAAAGAGAAGAACAAAACAATCACCAGCATGTTGGATAGATTCAATTACAGTGACAAAGGGTGCAAAACTGGAAGACCTGAAGGACCAGGTTGGGGACAGACCACACACGTGTGTGGTTTGCAATAGTTGATATTGTCTTGATGACACATAATCACTCAATTATAGGGCATAGCAGCAGGGGAATTGTCACTACGACATAGCCATAAATCACCTTTTACTCTGACAATTTTTCAAATTCTGTTTTCTAATTCAGTTTGGTGATTTCACATACCACAAGTAGCCACTAATTTTGTGATGTTACACTACCACTACAACTTACATTTCAAATTTAAATTCCTCTTATAAAATTATAAAATTTTCTTATTCAGCCAAAAATACATTCTATAAAACTTAAAAAGATTCAGTTTCTTGAGAATCAAATATATTTTCCAGTTTCCTCTTGCACACTAAAATGACAAGTATTTAATAACGACACACAGAGCAACTGTACATTTTTTTAAACTAAAAAGTGCCTAGGACATTCAACTCAATCTAACAACTTGAAAGAAAATTTAAGACAAAATTAAAAGGAGGACAGTGGAATGTTAAGAGGATATATTAAAAAAATTCTCTGAATCTCATCCAAATTTTATACATTGTAAAGACCTTGTAAGGGGTAGCAAATATTGGAAAAAAATATTGCATTAGAATAAAATGTTATGCTTGGCTGCATTGGGGGCTTGTTTTTAAGTTGAACAGAGCAAAGGCATCCAATTTAAGCTAACCCAAAGCCAAAAAGTTAAGATACTATTTGGAAAGTTTGACCAAATGGGGAAAAAAAATCTTAATAGAGGTATAAATAGAATAAAGCCACCAAGGAATAAAAATATTACAAGTGTTATCAAGTTATGCCATCTTTCCCAGATCAAAATTTTTGTCTTGAATACTCAGCTAAAATTCCCAAAAATTTAAAAAATTTCACAATAATATTAATCTAACAGGTATATAATAACACTGAATAAGTTAGTGGATTATGCTATAAAACAAAGTGACAGCCTTAAGTGCGATCCTAAGCATCCAATGTACATTTGGAAGTCAGTATGTCAATCGTATTGCAATCCTGAGAATAAGCAGAAAGTAATCTGTTCAAGATCCCTAGCTGCTGATATTTTGCATGTGGCCATCCAAGTGCTGCTTTAATTGTCCAAATTACATTTCCAAGATACTTATCAAATTATGCAACATCTTGCACAAAAATTTAACACAGGGCATAAAGTGAGGTAATGTAGCATGAATTATTGTGGTCCAAATGACACAATTCTATTGTTCACACATAGATTGCTTTAATTTTTGTTTCTAATGTCAAAATTTTGGTATACATGTTAAAAATACATCCAATACGATAAAAACAAAGAGAGATGATAATCTGGGGGCTAATACACTTAGGATGTTAATAAAATTCCACAGAAGACTTTCCTAACCCTTGGCAAAAAGCCATATCTTCTGACCCTGTACAAAGAATGAGACTATTGTGCCAATCCAAAATTCCATGGGGAAGCTATTCCAGATAGCAGGCACCCTGGCCTGAGAAGTTATGCTGTCTAACTCCCAACAAAGGACACTGTTTTAAATATGGGTCTTGGAGCATGACTACTCTGTCAAATCTTACTGGACAGGAATTGAAATATTGGGAGCAAATAGTCTTTCAGAGATCCAAATCTTATTTCATCAAGGGCTTTATGTATCATAACCAGCACTTCAACAACACCTCATTCCAAACTGATGGATGTCTTATCCCAATAGTTTCATGTAAATTAAAAAGGGAAAGAGGAAGCCCTTTAGTAGTACCATGGAGGAACTAGTGAGCTGATCTCTTCAACCTCCACCCTAACAGAACTATCCACTAAAGCAGTGGTGGCCAACCTATGGCACAGGTGCCAGAGGCGGCATTCAGAGCCCTCTCTGTGGGCACGTGCACTGTCACCCTAGGCCTTCAGCTGGGTTTTATAAAACCTTTTCGCTTTAGGCCTCCGCCATGTACAAAAAAAAAAAAAGGTTCAATCAGTCAATTTCAACTTCTCGTGGGAAAAAAAAGATCTTGCAAAGTTGGAATTGATTGATTGAACTTTTTAGTCCCACCCAGTCTGCTGTTACCACTGCAGCCACACCCACCCAATGGGCCACACCCACCAGGCACCCCACGATGCATAAGTGGGTTTTGGGCTGCAGTTTGGGCACTTGGTCTCTAAAAGGTTCGCCATCACTGCACTAAAGAATAATCACTGTAAAACTGTGCTTTGTAACTAGTCCCATAGGGAATCCAGAAGGATACCATGTTCAATGGTGTCAAATATGATTGACATCTGAAAAGACTATAAAGGACTCATTTAGGAGTAAGAGCAAGACATCTTATTTTGGTAAATCCAACATGTGTGATGACAAACTTAAAAACAATCAGGAAATTACTGGCTTACAACAGAACTCCACTTTCAGTTCTCTTACCAATTATTCTGAGGTTAAGATCAAGTCCAATGTGTGACCACCTACTTACTATAGGTGAACTAAATCTGAAATTATCCAGGATAAGCCCATACGTATCATGTCACGGAGGCCATGAACCCCAGGTTTTTCTGAAAATTCCTTCCTAGGACATGAAGATTGAAGTACACTAGCACCAAAAGCTGGGAAGATGCCAAACCATTCTTTTCAGAGTTTTAGGAGTCTGGGAAGGGATACTATATGCACCTTGTAGAACATTTTCCTGACACTGTGTGGATGAACCCAAAAATTCTTGGAGAGCTAGTATGCATCCATGTATTGTATTAATATGTGCACGGGACAAGGACACACTTAGAATCTCATTTTTTCCTCCTTAGGGAAGCCAATCATATGCAATAATATTAAACAGTTCTAGTTTACTCTTTCTCCTTCATTCTATGAAGATTCACTTCTGACAGGAAATTCTTAGATCCAGCTACTTCTTCCAGATTGTTTTCTTACATTCAATTTGAGAAAAACAAAACAGATAGCCAATCAAATGATGCACTCCTAATTAAGGAGAATGGTATTAATTCAAACCTTCACTACTTTGGAGATATGTAAGATATTGGAGTCCATATTCAAGCTAGCTGAAATAACGAGAGAAGAAGGATCTTTGAAAAGCTG